TGGCAGTCATAAACCAAAAATACAGGTAAATGATCACTAATATCATTTATAAGTAATCCACTTGTCATTTTGCTGTCAATAACATTGGTAAGTATATTATCTATTAGTGTTGCATGCTGGGTTGTTACTCTGCTTGGTTTTGTAATTTTTGGGTATAAACTGCATCTATATATTGTGTTAATAAACTCCTCAGTTGCTGTGTGCTTATTGGGCTTCAACAAATCTATATTAAAGTCACCACATATAAACATTAATTTATGACTTATTGGCGAGTAATTTTCTTCCAGCCAGTCATTAAATTTTTCTATGCTGGCTCCAGGTGCTCTGTAGATACAGCTTATTACAACATTCTTCTTTTTTTCCAAAAGTAGTTCAACAGTCACCCATTCGAGTAAATTATCTACTAAACCTAGACATTGTGTCTACATTCTTATAACAAATGTTTTTATCTATGTACAAGGCCACACCACCTCCCATCTTATTCTCTCTGTTTGTGCATACCAAGTCATAGCCTTCAAGGTCAAAATCCATTCCCCTTACAGTGTTGATCCAAGTTTCAGTAATAGCAATTATATTAAAAGAATGTTTTAGACTACTAAGATAATGTTTTATACTCTGAAAGTTTGCGTATAAACTTCTGCTATTAAAATGAATTAATGATAATTTGTTCTCAGTCTTGACATTGCAGTTAAACTGCTCATCCGTGTAATACTTGCAGTTATTTTCAGAGTTCTTAAAAAAGTTTATTTCAGGGTCAAAATCTTCGTCCGGTTCATGATAATGAATTTCAGTATCTCCAGTAGTGTTCAGTTCCAGTTCCAGTCCCGCAAAATATATTAACTTCTGTAACAAATCACTTGCATCATTAGTCGCGAATAGTCGCTTTTTTATTAACTCCACACAACCGGTTACTGTTGGCCATAACCACGCCAAAACAACAGCCCAACAACACCAAGAAAAAAAGATTAACAACCTGCTAACACCCTCTGTAGCTCAAATCCCCTCCACCCTTCTCTCCCTCCCGCTCTCACACCTCTTAACCCCTGAAGCTCCACACCCATCAAGGAACCATAACAATTACATCATAACATGCCAAGTGAAGGATCACTACAGTATTTACTCAGGCAACTCCAACCCCATTCAAGTGGAGCTAATATACAACAAATCAATTCAAAACATATTCACACAATAATTGTGCACATGTTAAGTTCCAAGTAGCCACAATTATTCACAAACTTTAGAAATTCAGCCCTTTTAAGTACACCTTTGAAATATCCTTGGAAAGGTTGTTTGTGGATTCACTGTTTTGGTTCACTGAATCTGACTGACAGTCTTCCTTTCTCAAGTAAATTAAATTAAATATAGGTTAAAAAAAAATTCATTAACAAAAGAAAAATACACATAATGTACATATAGTAGATTCATCTTCCTAAACTCTTTTAGGTTTTTTCTTTTAAATCCCTCTAATATAATAATAACCTAAGGGAATGCAAAATATTTGTGAAACAATGTTACAATACTGTGTTTACAAAAGCTGTTTTGAAAAACATCAAGTGCCACTGCATTCTTCCAACCTCTTCAGTCAGCCTGTGGAAACTCTCATTCTCCTCGTGTCACTTCTAGCAGCGTAAGCAGGAATTTAACTGTGGACACAGTGTGATGAAGATAACTTCAGAACTAGATGCAAATCTTCAGTAAAACTCACTGAAATATTTTTAAAAATGTACATAGTGTATATCACTTGGTTATTCTAGTCATCTATCAAAACTGAATCCCATCAAAAAGGGGAAATGCATAACTTCGTTTGGCTGCATAAGAGCAGCTGACATGTTGCCATTTCATTGTGCAACATATAAACAGTGCCTGCTAAAGACACATATTGCCTAATCAAAACACATGGACAGACTTTCTGAATGTTGAGTTGATATTATCTGCCAGGTTTCACAGCAATAACTGAATCTTATGGACTCTTTTTCAAATGTGCAGCTGGACTTCAGTGTCTTCCTCCCTGCTGGTCTTCATGGGAATTCACCCCTCAAAAAAGGGTGCACTGAATGTGCTCATATGTCCACATCATCTGAGTCAGATGTGCCAGATGACTGGGACTCCTCCTGGGACTCTCCCCACACAAACCTATAGTTGTTCTCCAACTCCTGCTGCCTCTTTTGCTCCTTGTAAACCTCTTCTGTACCTCCAGTCTGGGGGGTTGAAAACAAGGCATGTTAGAAATCAAATGTTTAATTACTGTAGTTAAAATAGTTTTCCAAAAAAAAAAAAAAAGCTAAGAAAGAAAAAGATAAGTACATATGTGGCAGCCTTCATGCTGATAAGATGGATGTCAGTCACAAAACACACACATTATATTAAGTGTTACATTCTCTAGACAGCATAGCAAAAGTGTATTTATCGATACATGTAGTTAGTTGCAGGGAATGAACCTCGGATTCAATGAGATGGTATACTACTCAGATATTCAGATTATAAGATCTGTCACACAAATGCTTAACATTAGAACACACACCCTGAGGCATCTCAGGATTAGTATAATCTGTATAATCACACCTGAAATAATAGTCATACTCAAACAGGCAGTTGTGTGATTGCTCACAGCCAGGTACAATTTTCAAATGGCTAAAAAAAGGCGCTCTTTATTACATTTTCCACATTAACAACTTGCCTCTTGCGAGAAATCTCAGGTCAGTGCACATTGACTGTGTGGTGGTAAGAATGCAGCTCCCCTTTTTCTGCCCTATTATGAGGCACTACCAATCCACCTCAATAAATTATTTCATTCCTATCTTGTTTACATTCAATAAGCCTGATAACTACTGTAACCTGTTCCCGAGTAGGTTTGAGATTATGGACATGTTGCTATGACAACAAGTCCATGAGACTTTTGAAGAACCAACAGATCCAGGATAATGTGAAATAACAAAATTATCCGGCTAACTTGTTAGTCCATGTATGAAGAACACTCCATGGAATCTCCACTTGTTGCTTGGCAACTACTTTCACCAAAGACATTAAGCCAACACATGACCCTCACAAAGCAGTTATTTGTTGTTGTTTTCACTTTAGTTTTTGTACAACTTAACAAATAAGATACACTCTGTCAATCACAGAGCTAAGTTAGGCTAGGTGTTTCCCCACTTTCCGGTCTATATGATAAGATAAGAGAAGCTAACCAGCTGCTGGCTCCTATTGAACAGACACATACTGTAGGAGAGTGGTATTGAGCTCATCTAATTTTCCACCATAAAACAATTATCTTTCCCCAAATGTCAATCTACTGCTTTAAGCTTCCAAGTGAGCCACACTATACATACATTTTTCCCTTTCTAATGTGGAGGAAAATACTGAGAAGAATACAAAATACTTTGATTTGTGCTTACAAACAAATCAACACACAGCTCAGACAGTGAATACACCTTAAATATTTCATGAGTAAATCCAAGAAAGTCACTTTTGGCTTTTCCTGTTTAGGGGTCGCCACAGCAAATCGTCACACTGACGACTTGCATGTTGACATTTAGCACGTGTTTTATGCTGGATGCCCTTCCTGACACAACCCTGACTTGAACCCGGGGCCACAGCAACGAGAGTGCTGTGCCTTAACCACTAGCCTACCAGGGACATGAGTAAAACTAATTATTTTAAATCTAATCATGAGGCTGTTTTGCTTAGCAATAATTTATTATGCAAGTAGACAAAAATACAAAAACTTGCATTCAATCTCATACCAGCTGAATATATTCGCAATGAAAACTCTATGGCACACAGTCGCTTGTCCTGCTGGACTTGACTGCCGCTTTTGACATGGTTGACCATGACATTTTAATATCTTGGCTTCAAGATTTAGTGGGCATTCGTGGTGTTGCCCTAGCATGGTTTAAGTCATATTTATCAGGTAGATCGGTGTCTGTCGGGCTGGCAGATGTGGAATCTGTGACAACCCCTTTGTTATCTGGGGTCCCACAGGGCTCCATTCTGGGGCCTTTGCTTTTTTCACTATATTTACTTCCCCTTGGCTCTATCTTTAGGAAACATGGGGTCTCTTTTCATTGCTATGCTGACGATGTCCAGATTATTATGCCACTGAGTAAGGAGGACACCTACTTGATTCAATTGCTTTTAGCATGTCTTGCCAATATTAAGGGCTGGATGTCGTTAAAGTGTTTAAAGTTAAATGATGCTAAAACTGAGGTTATAGTGTTTGGCCAGAATACGTCTGGCGACCCTCTTCCTGTAGACTTAGGTTACTTGGGGCAGTATGTGTGACCAGTGGTCACTAATTTGGGTGTTAAAATAGACTCTGATTTGAAAATGGATAGCCAGATAAATGCGGTCGTAAAATCTGGATTTTTCTATTTAAGGCAGTTAGTGAAACTAAAACCCTTTTTGTCGTGGCAGCATTTGGAGACAGTGATCCATGCGTTTGTTACATCACGTATAGATTACTGTAATGCACTGTCCGCTAGAGTTAGTCAAGCGGGTCTTGCCCGCCTCCAGAGGGTCCAGAATGCTGCCGCTCGGTTATTGGTTGGGGGGCGTAAGAGGGACAACATAACGCCAGTGCTGGCATCTCTCCATTGGCTTCCGGTGCGTTTTAGGGTTCGTTTTAAGATTCTTTTATTTGTTTATAAATCCTTAAATGGCTGGCACCATCTTATCTCTTGGAACTTTTGCATCCGTATAATCCGTCACGGTGCCTTAGATCAGCTGATCTGCTTCTTCTGAAGGCACTGAGGACCAGGCAGAAAACTAGGGGGGATAGAGCCTGTGGTGGGTCCAAACCTGTGGAATGCTTTGCTGCTTTATATTAGGCAGACCCCCTCGCTGTCTACTTTTAAGTCTTATTTGAAGACCTATTTGTATTCATTGGCGTTTGGCCAGGAATGAGACTGTCTGTAGTGTTAGAGTGTTTATTTTATTGTTTATAGTTTTTATGCGTTGATTTTAGATTTGTATTGTATGTTAAGCGCTTTGGTCAGCTGTGCTGTGGTAAAGAGCTATATAAATAAAGTTGAGTTGAGCTGAGTTGAGTACACACGGTGTAACAATGTATAACTCACACCCACAAGGATCCAAATGAATGATTAATTATGACTACTCAAATTACCAGGAGGTTTATGAGGAGCTCCCTGAAGGACTTTGTATCTTCTTCACTCAGCCACTGATCACCTGCCTCATCTACATTCTTCCGTGTCAAGATCTTTACCTCAATTTTACCTAAAAAAAAGAAAAAAAAAAAAGAAAAAAAAAAAAAAAGAAAAAAAAAAAAAGACAGAAAACAGAAGAAAAGGGGGTGTGGAATGAAACACATGTACTTCCAAGTGGCTCAGAATAAGAACTGTATCATGTTTAAACAACAAATAATTAAGAAAGGTACAGACAAAACAGCCAAACAGTGGATGAAAAAGAAAACACACTCATGGATGACACACCTTTCATTTCTATTTCCCTTTAGAATAAGCTTCAACTAATTGCTGTCAGCTTTTTATATCATGATCTTATGCACTTATGTTCAATAAAGAATAATTTAATAGGCCACTGGTGTCATGTTGGGGTTCCTGCTATAAGCATGATACTGTCGTCTGAAAGGCTAAACCTTAGAAAACGCTCAATCTGACAGTTATGTCTTGACAATGATGGGAAGACGAAGGAACTGTGTGTTCAAGGTAACATGAAAAAGAGAAAAGGCCATGAGTGTTTCGGGCACTACCCCTTCATACCTTCGGCCTTCAGTCCTGCTTTCTCTAGCTGTTCTTTAACCACGTCCTTTATGTGCTGCCACTGGGGGTCTCCTTCGCCCATCTCCTGAACTTTGACCTCCCCATCTGGGCTGCTGCCCGTCTTATACTTAGTAATTTTGATCTTAACATGGTCGTCAGCCGCTTGGTCTGGGGTGACGAGACAAGAGAGGGACAAACAACAAAGTTCACCTACAAACCCATCAGCAGGGCCACAGGATGGAGGAGGTAAGGGCCAAGAACAGTGAATCCAAAACACTTCCTTATAAGCATTACATCTATGTCATAAATCTGATTCACTGGTAATGATTATAATTATTTTGGTTTCGATTTATCTTTGAAAATCTTCCACAGATGCACCAATTGCAGCAGAGGAAAGACTACTAACTAACCAAAGAAATTCAAAGTATCAATCTGATAGCATCAGTTTTCTGTGGATCTACTTTCTTTTGCATCAAACTAAGTCTATGTGTGCATCTATTCTTAGGTGAAAATGCCACAACAAACATCTACTGTGCATATGGATGAAATATGAATGTGATGGAGGTGGACACACATTAAACAGGCGTGATCGCTGAAGGGAAGGCAGCCTGGTTACCTGGCTGCTTTGGAGCCAGGCTGGGGCTGCCCCTGGTTGGGTCGCTGGCTCTTTGAACTCCTTCTGTTTGCTCCTCTGGGTCTTGGACATCTTTCTCCTCCAAATGGTCAAGTAGCTTGTCCAGGGTCGTCTCCAGTGTATGTGTTGCTTGAGTGCGATCAAACTCACCTTTCAGACCCTCGGTCTCCAACTCCTGCTGGGCCTATAGCACAGAGAATCAGTAATCATTACCAAGCATCACTTTATTTGATTGTGCAAGATCTGCCTAATAACATTTTAATATATTGTCTTTCACACTTTAAATTCAACTTTATATCTGATGAGCTTTATGATATACAGCAGTGGTCCCCAACCTTTTTATCATTGCGGACCGGTCAACGCTTGACAATCTTACCGCGGCCCGGGGGAAGGGGGGG